ATCCATTACCGTTAAAAGTCTATTTGGTAAGAAGATAAATTTATTAGTGCAAAATTAACCCAATTTTATAATTTATATGAACCATCTTACACTCTACATATTTGTATTCACACATATTTACATTCACACAAAAGGATTTATCAGATTCATAAGCATATAAACCACAGGAAATGCTTCCATCCTATATCACACCCCCATCGCATTTGAGAACAACTTCAAATTGTTCGAAGAGTAAATGGAAGATTGGCTTTCTGATTATCTGTCAACCATAGAGAAACAATTAATAGTATCATTTGTATTAATCCCAAGCTCCAAACTAAATTTAGCAATCGATTAAATAACTGAAGAAACAGAGGGAAAATGACAGAATTACGGAAAATCCAAATAAAATAAAAAGCTATAGCAAGCCAAAAAAAATCCCCAAGCTGGCATAACCTAATCTAGTGACAAGTGGGGGAATTTGAATTTTCCAAACCTTATGTATTGATGTTTGGCTTATCATTAGGTGCAGATCTAATGGTTCTAGAAGTATATAACCCAAAAAAAGGATATTAATTTATTTTTGGGGTAGAGTTTATGGGTATTTGATGGTATATATCCATCTATATTACTATGCAGTGTATCAGAATATACACTGCCACGTAGGATGCCAACTAAGAGCCAGGTCATTGTACCGGTTCTTCAAACCAGCATTTGATGGAGGCCCCCAGCAGCCCTGGTTTTATGACTGTTATAAGTCAAAACAGTCTCAAAGCAAAATTAAAATTGGTATTTAAACTCAAAATTCCTAGGTGGTGCTTATATGGAAGTTTTTCAAGTAGAAAAGGTCACAATACAAAACATAACCCAAATGTTTAATACATACTCAAATGAGGGCCAATTTGGAGTGTTTTCCAATATGATTCGTTATGTTTAAAAAAAAAAAAACAAAACAAAACAAAACAAAACAAAAGAACTGTTAATTTTTGTTGATGCGTGGTAGTTGTGTTTTTTCTTTTTGAAAAACAAGATCATACATGTCAATAAACACTCCTTGAGATTTTGGATTTTTTTTTGTATATTCCATATCTTTTATTTCAAATTAAACACAGTCTTAACGAGTTCAAATCTGCTCCCAATAAACACTCCCAACATTGTCTCAACAAGTCATTACAGTCACACATCATGAATGAATAGGAATCTGCTACCAACAAAATTCTTGCAATACTGTCCCAACGGTCCACTACAGCCACAAAACATCTCCCTTCTCATATACAGCTGCAATGGCTATATGTTCCTGATCTGAACTCATGAGGAACATCTCTCCATGAATGACAAGGGTTATGTTCCCAATCTATATCTGCAGCGCCTCATGTGTTGAGGACAGGTAGCTCAAATTTATGATCAGACCTATTTGTGGACAAGGTAACCTGACAAGCTGGGCCAACCCGGCCCATTTTTTGTCGGGTGTATACATAATTTTATGCCTGCAAATTCGGGCCTGGGCTTGGGATTTCTCAAATAAACCTGGCCCGATAAA